CTCCCTCTTTTGAATTTGTGTTTTCAAAAAGAAACAGGATTTTTGAGATGTTTCATTTCCATTGTATGAGGAAAAAGTTACAAGCTTGTTGCATGCCTAAGCTGGTGACAGGCACAGAAATCACTGAGGGACCAGGCTTCAAAACCTCCATCCCAGTTTATTGTAGGTTGTTAGTTCTCTATCTCTTGCCAAACATATCATGAAAGCAAATAAAGTGATTATTTTTATTATTATTATTATTATTATTATTATTTAGTAAAGGTATCTATCATTGCATATCATTTGCTTTCCATGTTTTTTGTTAAATACAGAACTTTTCATAGCTTGTGATTAACATGAAATATAGTAATGCTGTGGTTAGAAAGAAAAGCTTAGAATGAAATATCGCATCATGCTTCAATAATACAAAATATTAAATTACATACCAATATCTCTTAATTTAATTGGAATATTTAAAAAAAAAAAAGAGGCTGGTTGCCTTCCAAACATAATTGTGTCTTTAAATAGTGTTATAGTATCTGATAACCTGATAAAAGAAAACTGTACTGCACAGGGTTTGGAGATTTTATTGCACTCAATGAAACAGCATGTGATGACGACTGAAGATTTCAAACATTTTACTATTTCACCACAAGTTTTACCATTTCAGAACGCTTACATAACACTTAACAGAATAGCTGAACATTGTGTTTTGCAGCATTTGGGGGTAATCATATACTGGTAAACTGCATTCAGCTCCTCAAGTGGAAGAGATGGTCAAGACCAGCTCTTCCAGAGCAGTGTCCTATAGTGTATATAACATGTTGGGGGGTCACAGTGAGTGAGTCTAGTAAAGACAAAGAAGAATTTCAGCCAGCAGATTTTGAAAAGAATCATCTGGTCTTGTGCTACATGTAACTTGTGGATCTTGGCATCATGTGGCTACGGCCCTTGTTCTTATTTATTTCCTTGTACCCATGTCTTTTTTCATCTTCTGTGTATAGAAATGARGTATACGATATCATCTTTCTTTTAGGTACTGTTAGATACTGCTATCATTATCACTGGTATCACTGATGGTAGAAAAAAATGCCTTTGTGGAAAAGGGGTTGGAGCTAAGATGGCCAATTAGTTTCTTGAAATTATGAGGCGGCCTGTAATGTACTTCACTACAAAATTTGCTCCTCTGTATATTGTAATAGAGGGGGGAGAGAAAAAAGAAAAAAAAAAAATGGTTTTCTGAAATAGAGAAAGAAGCTTCTAGGGAAAACATTACTTCCACATGCAACTACTTGCACTTTCTTGTGAGCTCTGGGCAGTTGATAATTGCTTAGTTAATGTATGGAAAACAGTGCCCATGCTAAAATAGGCCTGTCACACTTCTGAAATTCTGCTTCAGCAACTAGCCACACGAAACTCGCTTCCCTGGTTGACTAAACGTTATTTAACCTATAATTGCTTGGGGTGCATATTAAGACTTTCCCACTTGGTTTCCTCAGTGGCTTACCATTGGTGGCGATCTGCATTAAATCTCCATCAGTGTTTGCTCTTATGGACTACTATAGAAGTTTTCAAATATATCCAAGTACTTCATTTAAACCCTGGTACACATGAAGGAGCTGTGAAAACAATGCAAATAATAATTTCACACACAAAAAAAGATTTGCATTCAATGTTTTAAATTTACTTGTGTAATACAGTGGGTATGAAAAGCTGGATATAGTTTTCCTCATATAGTACTGCTAATGATTGTAAGAGATAAATGTAGTGCAATATTTTTAAATATACTGAATGGGGAAAGGGTGCAAAATCCTTGTATTTTATGGATAARGAAAACATGTCCTATTTGACATTAATTACAGTACATGGTCGATCTTGAGGGGAAAAATGTAATATTACATTTCGGATGTAATCTTTGTTCATGCTTGACTGTAAATAGCTGAAAATAAAGAATACCACAGAAAACAACTATCTTGACTTAGTGATATCTGAATAGGTGGCAGCTACACACATTTACAGAAAYTCTGCCTAATATGATTTTGTTGGCTATTATTTTATCATGAGAATAAGCTTTAATAAAATAGTTTTGCTAAATTATAAACTTCTTTGCACTGTGTTAATATTTTTTTTTTTATTCCAGTAGCTTATCATCTGAAGTCATTAACAGAAAATTATCTTGGGAGAAAAATAACACATTTTGCATTAACTAAAGTTACTGGCTGCTGAAAAAATTGGGTTTTATGCTTTTTTTTTTTTTTGTAATGGACATGCATTTATTTTTATTCTACATAATAGACAAAGACTTTTTCAAAATGACAAAGACTTTTTCATTTTTGATGTATATAGCTACATGTATAAAAATGCTAAAAATGCTGACCATTTATTTACTTTTAACGACCTCTAAGCAGTGCACAAGTAATACTGCCGTTCTCTTAGTAATCATAGCGACTACAGATAGAGGCTCATGAAGAGAAATAAATTGTCAAAAGAAATTCTTCTGTCTTCTTATGGCCTTCAGAAAAAGTTAAGAGGGGAATTAAACACGTCCTTCCCATTTAATGGCTTATTTTCTTCCCATCAGTTTTAGGTTAGACGAGGTTATACAGAGAGCTGCACGTGTCCCTCAGCAGCAGCCCCAAGTGCTGGCGTGCGGAGGCAGAGCAGAAACCCGGCTTCGTGTGTGCAAGAGCAACAGGGTCAATAACGTGAGCCTCCTTACCTTGCCTTTCTGGTTTTTGGGTGKTTTTTTTCCTTGAAATTATAGAAACAATTTTTTAAGTTGTTCTAKGCTCATACCTTTTTGTTTTAAGTTAATCTTTTCCATTACTTTTAATATATGTGTACATATATAAATTTTAAGCAATACGATAATTCAACATACTGTATAGAATTCCAAATTAGCATTCTGGGTTCAAATTGGTCAGGCTACTGAGTTTGCTACTAACTAAAATTATTTTACTGAATGTGGTTTCTTTTGGGGGGAATTTTAAGCATCCAAATGATGCACATCATTCACCAAGCCCATTTCCATCAGCACAGTTGTTAGCCATYGAGTGGCAGAGAAGTATTCAACATATTGCCACATCCCGGTGCCTACTGTATGCATCATAGATTGGTTTCACATACTTGATCTTAAGGGAAGAAATTTCATTGCTTTGCATTCAAAAGAMTACAATAGAAGATAAACTAATATAAAATCTGCTGCTAGGATAAGTGAATTTTCAAATTCCCTGCAGGACTTACTGCTTGATCTTTCAGACCATTTAATCCTCCYGTGATGTTCTCTCAGAATATTCTGCTTTCCTTAAACCCTCCGTTCTGCACAAGTTCTACATTGAGGCACATTTCCTCGCCGGGTACTCCTTGTCCTTCTCCCTTCTGCAAAAGCTCCAGCTCAGCTCAGCAGCCACAGGGTAGGTGGTTGGCCAGCCAGATACTTCAGCATGTAGCACATCTATCACCTGGAGCAAAAACGTTTCTCTGCAAGGACAGATTGGCTGGACCAGCATGAGGAGGGTTTTCCCAGGAGCTGAAATCTTCAGCAGCTGCTTCTCCCCCTCCCCAGGATGGATTAAGCCACAGTATTGAAAGTACATCATGATATGAGAGAGGTTTGTTTTTTTTTTTTTTTTTTTTGCTAGGTTTTATTACAATAGGTCATGACCTTATTTTAGATTACTTTATTTTACTGCACTCTGAATGCATAATTATTGACAAAGTTATACTTAAGTTTGATCCACTGTTTTTTTTTCATTTTTTTCTGACCATAGTATATACACTTTACAAAACTATATGTAAACATAGTATCTATGCTGAAATACATAAAACATCCGCAGTTACATGAAAGAAGGCACATAAAGATTTTAATTTACCAATAAAAAACATACACCACAATAGATAAGGACACTGTGATTTTTTAAAATGCTTTCTTTCAGAATCAGGTTTTCCTTAGTGCAGATACAGTCTAATGCAGTGCATTTTCTGCATTTGTCCCCGAATATTGATATTGGCACAAGCTTGATTCTTACTATTTTTAAAAATGATATTCTTTACTTCATTTTTGAAAATAAATATATATAAATATGCAATTTCTAGGGATGCATATAAATGCATGTAAAATACTTTCTTATTCTAACTACTAAAGGCATCATCTTAGTTGCAGTACTCTGTCGAACTAAGAGCCATCATACTGCAGCTTTCTTAACTAGTCACTTAAAATTGACGTGTTTAAAAATAAGAACCAGGACATAAGAATATAAATACTTGCCCTATCTTTTATGCAGTTCTTACTCCCTTTGAATGAAAGGAACCATTTACATTCATACATGCCTTTTTACCCTGTGTGTGAGACAGATGAAGCTATCCAGTTACTTCATCAAAGTATATCAAATAAAAGCTATACAGGCATCTGCAAAATATTTTCCTCAGTGTCTCATGAATGGTCATGTAGAGCTCATTTTTAGATCAGCGACGCAGTTAAGGCCTTTTATTTTAGTATTTTGTGATCCAAAATGGATATTCTTTACTTCATCCAAAATGGATCACAAAACCCATAGTGATGTCTACACTCTTAATTTCCGTCATTAGCTCCTGTGAATGTACTTACGAGGACACAGTCTAGCAGACTASAAATGGGAGAGGTGTGTTTTCTTTGAGCTTTGATTTGGTTTTTAAATTGGATGACTAAATTAGGTAATAATTTACTATCAACAGCTCAGTTCTTTCCTATGACTCTAATATGAAATATTGTGTATGAGTTAAAAAAAAGTTTAAATTCACATTTATACAGATTTATACTACACATTTAATCAAAAATATACTGTGTAATATTTAATAAAATTAAATACACAAAATAAAGGTTAACACTATAGAAATCTGCTACAAAAGCTTTTTTTTACCCTCTTTATAAGGCGGATAGTAGTCTGCTTCATAACCGTGGGAAATAAATAATTTACCTTTGGTTTTTTTTTTTTTTTTTTTTTTTTTAACTATTTCACTATTAAAAGTACCATACAACCAAAACATTTCTGGATGAGATGGTCCACATGAAACACTGCATTTTGTACACCAGAATACTTGATATGGCTTTTAATGGTATTCATCACTTTCGTATTCTTCATCATCACCTATGGGATAGGACTGGGTGTTGTTCTGAGTATACATTTTTGTTTTAACAGGGCAGTTGTGATCCATGAGTATTGCCTAAAAAAATAAGCAGAAAGCAGAGCATGGATGTTAGCTTTCCTGGTGAAGGTTCAGATGAGCACTYGGCCATCCCACTGCCATCACAGATTTAGGGATTCCTCTCTCCTTCAAGAAAGTAGAAACCAAATTACCAATTTCAATTAGCATAAAGCAAGTTCCTAGGTCTATGTGAGGCGGGATCTTTACCGTAAAGGCATCATCAGCAACTCTGTTACTGCAGTAGAACCGGTATTTCAGTCAGTATTACAGGTGGTCACCACCTGTAAAAAGCTGGATAAATGGGYAAAAGGAATCCCACTAGCTCAGGCTACGCACCCCTTACTACTCACTTCATTTTCCCACCTGCTAAGTGTCCTGTAGAGTTGACCGGGCATCTTCTTATTTTTTTTTCCTTCATATTTATCAGTCCTAGTCACTGTATACAAAGATTGATGTGGTCTGTAAAGGTTTAGCTAGTCTACAAAGGATTAGCTGTACTTGGGATTCTGCAGACCAAATATTTGCAGAACCAAAGGCCTCCATCCTCATACAACTTCAGCAAGATTAATTTCTTCCGTTTTTAAATTTTGCTATTTATACCAATCCAAAATCCAAGCAACTTCTCAAGCAGTTTCTGTTCTTACCTTTCAGAGATGTAGCATTACATAGCAAGACAACAATGGTACAAAATTATATTTTATTTTCCTAGCAGTAACCAACCACTACCTTTTGGCCCCAGCTTGAACGAGCACTGAGCACCACCTGGGCTAACCCTACAGATGGTGACAGATGTTGCAGCAAAGATTTGTGCTCAGAACACCAATTATTCTACCTACTAATAGAGCTGCATGATAATTCTTTCTGGAGCTTCCCATCTTCTTGCCAAACAAAGCAAGGGATCCTCTCCAGAAGTAAGACGGCTTTTGAATATGATCCAACAAAAATCTAAAGGAACAGCAAGTCTTACAATAGAATGGAGGGATAAAGGACATTTTTTGAAAGGGCAAATGGAAATGTGCATGGTGGCAAGCAGTGAAAAGAAAGAGTGGGCTGAGCATATACAGGCACATGCACAGAATCCCTGGGGCAGAGCTGGTAGACTAAGGAAGCTCTGCTGTGCAGGCTATTGTAGACCTTGGACTTCTGCATTGGTCCAGAGAGTAATCAGACAATTTAATGGGGAAAAAAGTCCTTTTAGGTCTATTAATCATGATGTTACTAGTGACTTAGGAGATCTCTTAGCCCCTCTTCCCTCTAGTTGTTGGAGTTTGAGACAACTGTGGAGATGTATCACAGAGGGTCCCTCTGCTCTTATGTTCATCCCTTGACACTGTTAATGATAAAATTGTTAAATCTTAACATTAATATTTAACATTAACATTTAAAATGTCATGACTGTGACCATGACCATGAAGAAAACAGGATRAGACCCAGGAAGGAATAAATCATGTGAAGTTAGTACTTGACAATTACAATTCTAGCACTTGTAGGGAACAACAGTGCTTTCTATACTTATTCCACCACATTGTATACTGTTGCAGATCAATGTTTGCTTTTACAGTAAAATGAATAATGATTATTATCGAACAAAAAAGTTCAAAAAAGACTGAATTTGAAAACACTATACTAGTGAGAGTACAAGAGTGTACTTTATGTATAGCAAAAAAAAAAGCTTTTATTTTTGCATCTTGGACATATAAAGAGAGGTTTTTCATTCTAMAGGTAATGCTTGAAGGTGAAACAGTCCTATTTTGGGGAAGTTAGAGGCTAGGGTACAGAAATAAGCTGTCATTCATTATCACAGAAAAAAATGCAAAAAAAAMMCACCCTTTTTCTGCTTACCATTTTCTCTTCTTTGGCAGATGGACTTCGAAGGAAAAAGCACAGAGGAGCAAAAAGGATATCCACGATTCCTATAATTGTCATGAGCCATGGAAATCCAATTGCTTTTGCAATGGCACCACCAGCAGAGGGACCTTTTTAAAATAAGAATCTTTTTCTGAATACTGCTCAGACATAAGATTTGCAACATTCACTTTAGACAGCAGTAGTTTTATATGCAAAATTTCCGCTTTACAAATTGATTTGAGGAATGCATATATACCTTTTAAACTCAAACATTACGTTTGAATTATGTTTGTAATTTRAACATAAACCTTTCCTTTCTTCGTGCTCCACATTCACTGCAGGAAATCAAGATGCTCCTCTCTAGGAGCCCCAATGTGTCTTGGCAGATGTCTCTGCTATGGCAGCTCACCATCTAAGCACATCATCTTGCTACAAAGGTGGGTATCATAAACTCAAGGGTATGGTGGGTCAGCATGGASCTATTTCCTTTGCAGGCAGCTAGGAGAGCAGCCATGGGGTAGTTTTAAACGTTGCAAGGTCTCTTTACAAGGAATAACCACACACAGTTCCCTGCATCCTTTCCCTTGCTCTTCCTTCTTGCAGAAAAGAACTACCCCAGCTCATGGAGCCTGTGTAGGCCCCTGGGATTCACCCCTAGCAGCTTCCCTGTTTCCCTTCTCATTTATCTGAATTATAAGGGGAAAAGGCAGGACTTACCAAGCGCGAACCCCATGCAAAAGGCCACATCCGCTATCGCGTACACGCTCCCGTAGACGGACACATGCCGCAGATCTACCAGATAGCCCATGATGGGCATCATGGAAGAGTCCACCATTCCTGATGGGAAGGCAGGGAAATATATTTCAGGAAAATATCTTCTACTTCTCTTTCTTTTAATATCTCTGCCAACTCAGCGCCAAGAAGGAATGCCAGAACAACTAAAAAGACATTGARTCTTAAATAAAGAAAAGCCCAACCACATGCTTAACTTAGAAACTGTCCTTGCAAAAGCTCTTTCACTGAGAGGACAGTTGCTTTGTATGAACTCACATTTACTGTGGGCCCAAAAGGTTTCATTAGCCCCCAGTCAATCAGAATTCTTAGAGCAGTTTTGACATGAGCCTTGGGAGCCTTGAGTCTCTCACTGCCAGCAACAATACGAGGGAGCCCTGAGAAACCCACTGCCGTATTCAGGGTTCATTTCTTCATAATTGTTCCTCTAACTTCACTTCTAGCTGAAGTCCCCTGTGTGCAAAGATACCCAAGAACACTCGCTCACAAGCCAAGTGCCAAAGCCCAAGCCATGACCCCCACTCAAGTCTGACTGTGGGATCCAACAAAAACAAAATTCACATATATTACTGGTAAAAAAAGGGTAAATGTATGTGTACTTAGGCAGTCCTTTCAGATGAACAAAAATTCCAGAGTGTATTTTTTCCCTACGAAAATTTCTATATAAATCTCTTCTACAGCAGGCACTGTTCTGGGTTCTATTGCATTGCTTTAAGTCTGAAAATAAGGTATAATTTTGTGAACCATTTGAAAGATCCATTTAGGTTGATGGAGCAATTCTGGACAGACTTCAGAATCTGGCTTGCCTAATAACAGCCTAGATCAAATTACCTTGAGCACTATCCTTTAAGTCTTCTTGCTTTATTTACCAATTTGGATCACGGCTCAGACGTCACTACTGTAAGATCAGAACTGCTTCAAAATCAGTTTTCTATGTAACTATGCATAGCATCACTTTTGCAAAAGCAATAGAYTGTAAAAGATCATCATAACTTTTTCTTACCAATGGCGAATCCAACTCCAAAATTGGGTGCTATGAGTCCATAAATGTTTCTAGCAAATGGTACCTAAAAGTTAAATTTCAGGAAATTATTTTTCTCCTACTGCAAATCCTAAAAAGGATAATTTTCCTCTTCTTGGATAAATCCTGGGTATTTATGGCACATTGTACAGATGGACAAATTAGAATATTGTTCCTGTTGTAGCTACAGTTTAGCCACACACAGTTATGAACAAGATCAAACTGCTAACTGAACAACAGCTCCAAAAAATGACTATCCTTCTCCTTCAAGAGCTCTATCTCCTTCTAAAGTTCTGAAGCAATGAAATCTGAAAGCACTCAGAATTGCATTCTGGAATGTATTAACTATACATTGTTTAATAATGTATCAAAAGGCAGAAATTTCAGTAAAATCTCAGGGGTAAAACACAAACTCAGGGAGGAACATATGAGCATTTAGATGGTTTGTTTTACTTACACATAAAATACTTATTCCCACGATTATCATCCCAAGTAAAGCACAAAGCCACCTGTCAAAGAAGAAACATCAGTTAGACATTACATTACTGATATTAACACGTTAGAGAGATTTTGAATATTTCGGCCTCATGTCTGATGGAGAGTTACACAACAAAAAGGTTCCAAATTTTTTTTTTTCCAGATTATYATTACTGCTATAGAACAAACTTTAACAAATTCCACTATCAATGAATTGCCCTGACAAACACTGGAACAGGGCACGGGAAGAGAGTGAGACGTTATTGATATTTTCAAATCAAGCCTACCTTCCCATTTTGTGTGCAAGGATCCCAAAAATATTAGTCCCAATAAGATAAGAGATACTAGCCGGAAGAAAAGCCACACCTGAAAAACATAAACGAGATATTTTATCAGTGGTGATCGAAGTGAAGTGTTAGAAGAAACTAATAAATTCCAGACACTGCAATTTTGATTTGAACCCATCTAAATGGAGTTWGGGCATGGCACAAAGAATCAAATATCCGGTACGCTGCAGCCCTTTCAAGAAGTCTAATGACATTATCTATGAAACGCAGGAGCGAAGAGATGCCTTTGAAAAGAGTTTTTCAACATCAGCTGCGAGAAATGCTATGGGAGAAGAAACAAAAAAGAGCAAAAAGTATTTCTAATTACAATAAGCTTTAGGATAGTTCAAGGGAGTTGACTTTTCCCTTCACAAATACATCTCTGTTTCACTGAGCTTGTGGAGCATATGCTCAGCACATGCAACAGGCCTAGATCTGCCAGGAGAACATCCTTTCTCTCATCCCTGAAGAAAGGAGACAGCGGGATGCTACCGCCACTAAGCAAGCTACAGTCATYAAGCCTTAAAAACATATTTTTAAATGGCTTTGCCGATATACTCACAGTAAAAGTTATTTTTCAAARAAATGGCTATTAGTTTCAATTAAAAAAAAGTAATCGTCTCAGATAGCAAACACAAGAGGGAACCCAGCTAATTTTTTTTTTGATGCTAGAACAACCAGACCCTACCAGACCTCCCATCCATTCTAAAGGAAAGGTTGCTTGGAACAACTATTTCTGTAGTCCTAAGGTTTCCAGACTGAGGGCTCTATCTGAAGCATCTGCAACTGGCTCCACAGTGGCCAGAAATTTCTCTGGTTTAAAAGCCAATTATAGCCTGTGCTTGAGAGCTAACCCTCTTCCTATCCCTATGCATAAATCACAGGGCAGAGCCAAGCCTGGAGGGAAACGTAAGAGGAGGAATTGCTTTGTAAAAGAAATAATAATAGATAGAGCASAGAGTCATTGCCTGGAGAGCACCAGGGAGGGCTACATAGACACACACAGGACCTTGAGCTGTCTACGAGGAGCAAGATTGCATCAAACACAAAACAGAGGACTTGGAAGAAATGACACACAGTATTTTCGTGCTGTTCCTAATAATTTTTSCATCTTCCTAAGAAAAACAAAACTGGGAAATTTGCCAAAGGAAAGTCTGATAACTTAATTCTTGCCATGACAGGCCTTCTGYTTGCTCATTTTTGAAATTGGGAATCAGGTAATTCGCGTTGAGAAAGCTGCTGCGACATTATGGTACACAATCAAACAATTTCCTTCAAGTGTATATGCCCCTCATCTTTCACCAAGGCAACATAGATTTTCTCATTTCCTGTCTATCCATCTTCCTTCCTATCTCTCTGATATTCATAAGAATAATCTAGAGGTAATTTTTAGCACTGCAATATCCTGTGATTACATTTGCACCCGTGCAACTGCAGCTGCTTTGGGTACTGCTTGGAGACAAGTTATACCGAGTTGTTATATAGAAGACCTTGAAAACTGCAGAAAATACTGGAAAAAAAAAAAAAGATAAAAAAAGATTTACAGTTAGGTGCTAAGCAATGATAAGCTGTGGTATACTGAAGCAGAACTGTAATTTGCTAAATAATGTAGTGTTTTATGCACTGTAACACTAACTGGTTGAAATCAGGATTCTTTGTACCTTCATGTTTCAGACAACTGGACTTCTAAATTGTATAAGACAAAAATTTACTTAAATCCTGCAGTTCAAGATATAATTTAAGAGACTTAAAAACTTTAATTAACATTGTCAAATCRGACAGACCGTAATGGAATCAATTACTTGTATCATTATGAGGTAAAATTATTCTTAATTAAAAATGGATATTTTCCTTCTAGGAATCGCTATTCAAATAAGAGATTCGCAAAAATGAGATTCACAAATCTCATTTCCATAACACCAGCAATATTAAACTCTAGTGTGGGAGGTAAGATAAGCAATCAGGCTTCTTCATAGGGAGGTTTAAAATCTCTAAGCTTGTATATTAATTTTGCTTTATTACAGGCTAGCAACCATTGCCACATACAACGGGACAACAAKGACCGCTATCGGTGGCCACTCTGGATCCGAGTTTGCATTTAGGAGAACAAAGGTTATATTTGCTCTGCAATGTTGCCATGCTTTAGCACTGCTAGTGCTGGGATGAATCACAAAATTTCATACCAAGTGCTCAGTGCAGCACAGGGATATTTGTTCAATGCTAGTTGAACATCGTTTTCACCTAGGATTCCTTCTTTTTTCCCTGTCATAGGAAATGTCACAGCACTGAACACATAATTAGCTTTATTGAATATATTCTGTAAGAGCCGTTCTTTCCTACAGATTATTAAAACAGTAAAGATCAGTAACATCCACCAGCACGAACAGACTGAGGAGAAAATCTGTAATTTCTGCTCCCTGCTGGAGCTGGACACTTCCCAGCAGTTAACCCCCCTTTTTCTTGCTTTTTCCCCCATTCATTTCAAAGAGAAAGCATTTGCTCTCTAGCCTAAAAATTCTAGACAAATTTTCACTTTGCTTGTGGAAAATGGTTTTACAAAAGGGTGCCCTGTTATAATTTGCCTTAAGTTAAGGCAGTCTCAGCCCTTTCTGTAGAAATTGCTTTATTTCATGTAGAATACGCAAATATCATATATGGGAATGAGTGGAACATAAGCCTCCCATCAGCCAGGGATGCGGATTAGCAACAGCTTGAAAGAATAAGTCTCTGCCTCTTTCTCTCCCCTAAAGAATAGATATTTTTTAAAAAAAWTTAATGGGACTTCTATAACTCCTGAAATAGGTTCTGCAAGAATTAATTGCTCATGACTCTTCTTGAGGTCTAGGTGGGAGAGAAGAATTACACCAGASCACAGAAATGCACGTGTTTATTGAATTTTACTGGTAAATTTAAATTTAAACTGGAAAAAAGTTCTTTATTCATAAGCACCAGCCCTCTGGTGCAGTTCTCTGTTCCAAAGGCAAAGAATTTGTGGTCAGAACATCAGAACATTGCTGGTTTCAATTAGAAAATGTCATTCCCTTCGGTAAAAACTGCATTATTCCTCAGAAGCAACACGAGCTCTGTGGAGAAGTCCCTTATGAATGGGATGACTAAATAACTACTGAAAACAGCGTAAAATCTTCCAGATTCCAGAGAAAATGTTCCTAAGGCTCCTTTTCTTAGTGTTGTTGTGAGTAGTCCTGGGTGAGCGGGGGTTAGTTTGTGCACGCTCAGGGCCAAACCTACTGAATCCAATGCAGACTCCAATGCCWACTCCAGGCAACTCGTACCAGGAATTGATAAATGATTCCCACTGGGAAAAACCTCAAGCTTCCAACACAAATTGTTTTCTGGGTTTTTGAGAACTTTAATCAAGACTTGCTCGTTTTCTTGGTTGCCACAAATGCTTATAAACAAAACATATTAAAAAAAATAGAACTTGAAATTTGTGCATATTTTCTGGTGTCTAAAATACGGGGCTAGAAGCCAAATCAAACTGTGTCCCACTTCACCACAGGGCTCCAGCTGGGCAATGCTGCTGCACGGTGTGATACTGCTGGCATGCAGGGATGCACCATCACCACCTGCATCTGCTTCTCCCCGCAATGCAAGTACTGCCCCTTATTTAAATCTATATTACAGTAATGGCAGCACCACATCCATTTCTTTAACAAAAGCACATATGCCATTGTGCCACTGTAATATTGACAATTTAAAGACTGTTACAAGAAATGACTATCCTAAAGCACAGAAGGAGACAATTGTTAACGTGACCAGACTGGAGACAGACATTGGACAAAATCTACCAGAAGCAAATAGGGTTCTGTACTTTACCAAGTTGCCACTTTCTTGAGCACATGGTTTCCATCATCCAGATGGGTAATGCTGGTTCAAGCATAGCAATTGCCATATTTGCAAAACAGATTGACCCTTAGAGAAAGAATAGGAAGTATAAAAAGTAGAAATTATTTCTTTTGACTATTAACAAAAAGCTATACAAAGAATGGATATATTTACAAAAACATTGAGGTCTTCACAATCCTATTTGTTATGTGTCAAATGATTAATGTTAAACAGCAGAGAATGCAAAACAACTTAGGACTAACCTACGTGTTTCAATTCTCCTAGAAATTCTTCCATAAAGGTTAAAGTATTTTCATAATGTGGAAGGGAAGGGAGTGGAGTCTGCAGTGAGCATGATGACATTTAGAAAGTTCACAAGGTCTCACTGTTGTACAAATGATAAACTAATACTACAATCCTATGGTCTTTAGCTCTTGCCTCCTGGGGCAAAAACTGAGTCCTGTTGTGCAAGAGGCACCAGCTCTGACCCCATTCCTTCGTCATTTGAAAATGACTAAGAAGATACATGGAAATCTTGATCTGAAGAAAGCCACAAGGATGTCTATCCCCTACAGTAGRGAATTTGATGAAGAACTCCCAGAACTAACAGCCAATAAGTTTGTGCAACCGAGCAGCCAACAAGTCTGGTTTGACTGAATTTTCCTAACCCTGTGAACTTCACATGCTTCCCAATCCCTTCTGAATTTTGAGACTTTTAGTTTTTCAAATGCAAATCAGTGAAACTACTGATTCAATACTGCCTGCTGGCTCAGTTCTGTCAATGGGGGTATTTTTTTCCTGCAGATTGAGATTCCAGAGCTTTTATGACAAGTTGGTCTCTCTGGAGTAGTGCATTTCTGCTGTGGTGCTGGGATTATTGAATCTAGTGGTATTTCTCCCAATTCAGGATGGCTTTCCCACTTCCTCAAAAGAACCTGAAGCAGCTAAAGCCTAATGCAGGACAACAGGACACATTCCCTCTGCTAATCCTTTACAAAAAACTCTTTCAACAGGRGTTGGAAGTCACCTCTAGAACTGACAGCCTCAGGCATATTTTCCCACTTTTCTTTCTAATATTTACAATCTCTGAAATTTAGGAACATATTCAAGACTCTTACAGTAGTTTGCCATCCAAACATTACTTTCTTACAAAAGCTTAATTTGTCTGAGGTCAGTGAAATATTATTTCTCTTGGAATAAGTTCCTCCTCATACAGTTCAAAACAAAATGAGCACTGATGTCATTCTTTGTTCAAACCTGTCAGAATATATTAGCCTGTAGACCTAAGATCCTTAAAGTAAATACACAGGTTGGCTCACTCACTGCCTTCCTGGGGCAAGCAGCAACAGTTCAGCACTGCTTTGCACTGAGGATGTAACGTTATGTCTAAAGCTGACCTTTCCACGTTGTTGCAAGCCTCCGCTAGCACAGTGTCTAGAGGCAATCCTAGGGGTTTCCCTGTTCCACAGCAAAATAAGCTAAGCTTGAGCAACTTCTCTGATGCAAGAAAAGCACTTTAGGACACACAAAGTGCAGCYAGGGAAAGCTGTGTGGTTCTAACAGAGATGGTTAAGCCTCAAACACCTTATATTCTTAACAGCTACCTGTCCCAAGTCCTTTTCACCAGTCCAGATCTCAGACCGGTTGCTTTACTGAGCCCCCAGAACATCAGCTGCTTCTCAGAGCAGCTGCACAAATTGAACCCCATGGAAGTGTGTTAGAAAACAGCAACAAATCCCATCCCTGTTCCTAGTTGGCACCTAGGATGGTCAAAACAAATCTGCACTTAACTGCTCACATGAAGACAAGTTTTAGCCAAATTTTAGTTAGGTAAAGGAGCCCTTATAAATGTATCCCCTCGTCATGTTTTGGGGTTCAAAACCTTGGCAGGTCTAATCAGTAACAGAACTTCACCAAACAGGCCCTAGAGGGATCACGTTACTCTAGATATCTACTCCAGACATCTACTTAATATGAACCTTATATGATGAGCCTTACTTTGCAGCGCCTGCTGCTAACCACTGCAAGAGACTAGATCCTGAACTAGATGAATGTTAGATTTGATCTCTTATGACAGCTGCTGTCTTTGCTTTCTTCCCTCAAAGACATAGTTCTACAGCAGGCTGTCTTAATGCTCCAAGAATCTCTTAAGCCAAATCGTTTGTAAAACTTTGGTCACAGCTTGACCAAGGGTCCATCTACAGAGTTAAAATCATGATAATTCCCTAAGATCATCAGAGAACCACATTAATGTCTGTAAGATTACATTGTAGGATAATTAAATTGCACTAAAGGAGCAAAACTGTAAAGATTACGATGTGTTTTCAGCTGTATGATGAACATAAAAAAGGCCAGGCTTAAATACACAGTGCTTCAGAACAAATGCTCAGTAAAATGTGATTCAAAAAGGCTAACTTCTCTCCTGAGAGAATCATCAAACAAATGATAAAGGCAACACCAAGTGCTTTTCACTATTTGACCCAGACTTTTTGTCAAATATATTCCATGCCCTAGAGACTAAACTCACACCCTCTTCAAAGAGAAACAAAGATCAAAACAATTCCTTATGCCTGCCTGGGATGTGCCTGCAATTCCTCTAACCAAATGCCTAACCAAATGYAATTCCTCTAACCAATTCCTTAGCCCTATTCATCTGCCTTATAGAGAGTTCTAGGGTGATGTCTCAGTATGAGCAACAACTCGTTATGCTATTAAGTCACCAAAATTCATTAGCTTGCTCCAAGCTAGCAGACACCAATATTTCTAGCTTCCATCCTACTAAATTTCCAGCGGCAATCCTGTATTACCAAAAAATGGCTTTGTTCTTTGAGCTTTATGTAAATGAAAACTGCAAATGACATTAACCGAGGTTAGCCTGAGGCGTTGTAGGATACCAGCTGTAACACCAACAGTCGGAAAGGAAAAGGAATCAAGTACCTGCTGCAATAAGAATGTAGGGGTCCTTCAAGAGCGTCAGTAACGGTGTCCCTTTCTGGCTCTACGGAATACATACAAGCTTGGGTTTATGAAAGGCAAAGCATAATCCGTCACCCAAAGGGTTTTATGTTAATACTTACTTCTGCTTGGGCTCGGGCTGGCTGTAACACGAGTAATTGAACAGCTGCAAGAAGAAAGCAATGCTGTAACTTCTCTTCAGGAAGGCGCTTAGATGGTGGGCAAGGCATGGAAGGAAGGTGCTAGATGGCAAAATTGAACGTTCGCAAGTACTGACCTCCATCRAAGAGCGCGAGCGCAGCCAGCACCAGGAAAGGAGAGCTCTTCCCCACGAACTCATACATGATGCTCCCAAAAGGGGGGCCCACTGGAAGGGAGAAATAAAGGAAASAGTTTTGCAGCCCTTTTCTAACACAGAGTTTTCTAACTCCAAACACAGAGTCTTTTCAAGGGTTTGGCCTTGCTTCCTTAGTGACCAAATGCACAAGTTTAATAAAATAAATAAATAAATAGCTACATATTTAACTCAGAAAATCCTGTTCCATGAAAACCAAATCCAAACATCTCAGAGACTACTGCCTGGCATAGTTCAAATACAAAACACTAAGCACCAGCCAAGTCCAACTTGCTTTATTTTTTTTACTTGTTTCACTCCATTAATTTCAAATATATTAATTCCACGAGACAAGAGCAACAGAAAAGGGAATCTAGTCCTGGAAGCTCCATCAAGATGAAACTGCATCAGACTGGGGCCTAAACCATATAAAGTCCTGCATTCATCTCCTGCATTTAGAGACTTACGGGAGTAGGAACACAGACCTGTAGGTCTTTGTTTGTAGGACCTTTAGTCCCTGTAAAGCCTATCGAAGTTATGAACACTGAATACACACCACTAAAACCCAGTGATACAAGCGAGTGAGCACAACAGCTCTGACTGATTGCTGATCACTGGAGGAGATATTCTGAATGAGGATGCAATCAGTAACCAAGATTTGAAAACCTTCTATATATCAGAAGATATACCTTTAAAAAAATGCATCTGCCTAAGAAATATATTTCTATGTAAATATATATATATGTATATATATATATATATATTCTAAGCATGCACCAGTAATCTAATTCGGAGACAACGTGATAAAACTGGGCTCGATCAGGATCTTCTTTTGCTGGCAGTCTCCACCTAATACTCCACTCACCTAATACTCCCATAGCAAGACCTCCTAGTGCAATTCCCATCGCGTTGCCTCTCTCTTCATCGTCAGTATAAACACTGGCAAGCATACCCATACCTAACATAAAAATAAAGAAAAAAAAAAAAAAAAAAAAAAAAAAAAAGCAGGCAGCTGTTTTAAAAAGGTGTTTTTTAACAAATTCAAAAAAAAAAAAAAAAAAAAAAAAAAAAAAAAAAAAAAAAAAAAAAAAAAAAAAAAAAAAAAAAAAAAAAAAAAAAAAAAAAAGCAGGCAGCTGTTTATAATGGTGTTTTGTCATCATTTGACACCCCTACTGAATATTTAACGGAGATGGTAGATATAGAAGGAATTCACCTTAAAGCAAAAGAGATTTTGGCAAGTGCAATTGATCTCTAGGATCATGTTCCATCATATTGTATCACTCAGTTAATTTAATGATATCCCAATTTGTTAGATTCTATCTTTTTCGAACAGATTTTAGATGATAATTTTCAGCTAGGTGAAACAAAGCTTTTGACAAGTATTCACTGTTACTTATATTCCAGTGCTTGACATACACAAATATAACCATGGTCAGTGGGAGCCACGCTTTGAACATAACATATTATGCAGTGTTGACTACTTTGAAAGTCAGTATTTCAAGTTCAGCAAGTAAAATTAAGAGATGGTTTTGATATTGTGCCTCCCTTCTGGATCCCATCATGATAAGCCTTCATTTTACAAAAGGAAATATGAAAATAATTCATATGGTGAAAAACCATTGTAGTGGTAAAAGCTATAGTGTATTTTTTTGTGAATTATTCAGACGCTTTAGTGGTAAAAGCTATAGAATAATCTTCACAAAAACTAATGATTCTCACTTTTCAAATTCTGAATTTTCAAATCAAAGTTTGAGTTCAGAAAATCCACAGTTGAATTGTCAACCAGGAGGAGGAAACAAAATATTGTGTGATGGATCATTAAGTGAACAGTGCCCATCATGTGCACCAAAAGGACAGAGATTCTGTGTTAATGAACATGTTTGGTAAAAATTGTGAAGCACAACAAATTGTTAGGAGAAACACTTGGACAGCAAGTTAGAGAACATCAGAATTCACAATGAATTTGTTGCATCTGGAGAAAAAAAAATGTGGAGAATAATAGGATTCAATACAAAGAAGATAACAGAGTTTTACGCTTTGATAGGAAAGGTTGCGTAAGAAACATGAGATGACAAATGACTAGTCTGCAACCATATCACCCCTCAAAAATCTGCGGGTTATAACAAATCACAAGCTGAACATGAGTAAACAACATAGCTGAAATAGGTTTGTCTACCTATTACTCTGCACCAGTAGATGCCTTTGCATCCACCACATGACACTTCACAAAACAGCTCCGGGGCAGGGGACACCCTAACTGGTCTTAAAGATCAGTCCTGCAGATAGCACCTGCGTGGCGATTTCCTCAGACAACTGCTGACAGCAGAGAGGTGGAAAGATTGGGAAATCTCTTGTTTTGTACTAGGATTTTCTTGTCTTGACCTCTCCTTCTGCTTTCTCCATCCCTGATTCTTCCCCCCATCACCACTAGCTCACTTATCTACTCCTCCAATTACTCATTCACTCTTAGTATCTCTGCTTAACCAGTGTTTGCTGCACACTCATGCTCACCATCCTAACCAGAAAGTGCTTCTCATTCCCAGYTCAAATGTGCTGAATATTCTCATCTTCCCAAGCAGCATTGTCCATGTGGATRGAATTCAGCTGACCTCTGTTTATAGACCAGTCTAATCTGGAAGAAGGAATTTTCCTGAGAAAGCCAAAGGATATGCTCTTGGCAAAAAGCTCTACTGAGCTTCCCTCCTGAGCCCAAATCATTTTCCTTCTACCACTATAGAATTTTTTCCAAGAAAAYGTGAAATGTTCTGATGTGAACAAAACATATTTTCTCAAGCTTCAAAGTGGTTGAATTATTTGGGGTGAAATTATATATTCCATTTCACCTACTTTAAAAAAAACAAGAATCTTGAACCAGGTGCCTACTATAGGAAACACAAGTCCAACCTGGCAGACAAAATTATGAGCTAATGAAAACTACATTTGAAAAGAGGAATTTCAGTAACAGGCAGAGCTACTATCCCAACTGTACTAAATACAGACCTGAGTTCCTACTGACCTTTAAAACTGCTAAAAGTGAATTTCAAATGTTGAAGACATACATTCAGGAAATCCAGGGAGAGTGCACTTCTACCTTGCAACAACCCAAATACCAAGAAATTCTGAAATGACATTTGCTTTTGGGCTTCTTTATATGAAAGAGGCAGGGAAAAAAGTGAAATTGATTTAATTGAATAATTCAGTGTTATTGAAACTGCAGACTATATACAGACAAGAAAATAATGGTCACTAACAACGACAGAAGCAGTGACCTGCATTTTACTCTATTGTATATTTACATTGTGTATTTATTCTCTTACCTGCCACTGAAGAACAAGAAGAACCCACTCCTTGAAGGGACCTTGCAATAAACAGTAATGTGTAGCTGCCTGAGAAAGCAAACACTACAGAAAAGATAAATTTTAAAAAWCAGGTTAACTCTAACTGGGTTAAAAAGTTAGATTTCTTTAAACTATCACAAACCTCCATGCAATTTAGTCAAGCATTTACAGTGACTAGTGCTACCTTCAATGCTAACTRCATTATTTTCTCTTATTGCATTTTGATTTGTCAGTGGTGAATTGTTCCTAGGCATTAAAGCCTTCTGGTAACAGGATGCAAGCATACAGGTGGTCTTAACTAATTATTCAGGATTAGATTATATCCTGCTCTGCTTCAGCTGTGCACAGATGGAGTAACAAGACCTCTCCTTTCATGCCCATGCCGCTTCATTTAAGAGTGCTTGCTTTGAAGCTTATGGCAATTCATATATTCTCTCCCTTTCCAAAACCTTTCCTTCCTCCAAGAAGCCACTYGCTGGAGAGAGGTCTTGGAATGGTCCAGCCAGCTCCATGCTCCRTGTTGTGCAGCACAATTAGCTGAACATGCATGGAAGCCAACTGCACTCATACTAGGGCTGCATCAGCTTGCTGCTGCTTACCACAGCAGAGCACCACGGAAATTGCACCTGAAGAGGAATCTCTCAATAGTCTACAGAGAGAATCTACCCAGGACTCCCCTCCCTGTCTTATCTGTTACTTAGGAAGTAAAAAAAAAATGCAGTGCTGGAGACTCTACAACCAGATAATTTTTCCCACAACTTCACTCCTCCTGCTGTGGGAAATATTTTTTTAATATTTCACCCAAATTTTCTTTGATGCAGTTTTAAAGGTCATCATTTCTTGCATATACTGRACCAAAAAAAGTGTTTATTTGCTTCCGTTTTGTCACAGACTTTAATATGTCCTACATCTGCTTTCTGAATCCGCTTCTTTTAATCTTTCCTCACAGGTGTCTGATGATCACTGATGYTCTCCTTTCTACTCTTTCCATGTGTGCAACCTCTTTAAGTGCCATGCCAAACTAAACATTAAACACCAGCTGATGCCTGGTGTTTAATGCCAGTAGAGTGGACAAATTATCTCGGCTGACTTGCGGGCTCTGCTCCTGTTTGCACATTGCACTGTGAGGTTTAGCAACGCAATGACACCGTTGATTCATACCCTGCTTGTGATCCACTACAACCGTACAGTATTTTTCTAGTAAGTTTGTACCATAACCCTGTCATGGCCAAACATTTTATCAGCTTAAAACTGAACACCACTAGCTTCAGATGACAAGATTCTGAGCAAAGGATTAGATATGGAAGAGACCAACCCAGATGGGCTAGAAGGTGGAGGAGAATCTCTTGTCTATAAGAATATGTTTCTCAAGTCATATCACCACCCACTCAGCAGCGACATATTTCCCTTTAAATAAATAAATTCCCTCTAAATCAACAACAATGACCACTGATAATTACCGTAGGTCATTTATTCTGAAAGTGCATCTGAACTGAATCAAGTAAATGTGGACACTTACTGATTGTTGACACAAACATGATGCAGAAGCCAGCAAACAGTGGAATCTGGTAGCCTATTCTGGAAAACAAGATGAACATGCACATTTTGGGATCATCCCACTGACATCTGGAGTTAGGTTTACTCAGATGAGTGCTTTAGAATTGCACACACATACACACACACATGGTGTGTGAAAACCCAACCTCTAGCTCCTTTGTAGGTATTGAACTATTTATGTTCAACCATATGATCAAAATTATCTGTGTTACTGGTGCCTCCTCCCTTGGTACTGAAGATTTTTTGTCAGAAAACCCTGAAAGAAACCCTTCTCGCTTTAGATTCTGATAGCCTTGTTCTCCTTTCCCTGTGATTTTCCAGTGCAGCCCTTTTGGGCATCCACAGCATTGCCAAGGATATGCTAATAGAATATTTATCTGAGCATGCTGAACTTCAAAAAATTCTAGTAGTCATCTCTTTCCATCCTCCTGGGACAATGGCTATAATGAGACACTGTCAAACCACTGGCTTTTTTCTACGAAAATTTGTCGTTGGCTTTGCTGGGCTTTCTGCCTAAGTTAGGAGCACTGGAAGAGTCCCAAAGTGTCTGAGAATGTCATTTCTGCTTTTCTGTGATTTGAAGAGTAACAGTGGAGCTGATCAAAGCTTTCTTCATCAGCTCACTTCTTCGTCAGAACGCAAAACAGTCTGTAGAAATGTCCAGTTGTTATTAATATTTTYCTTTTTCCATTAAAGAAAGGATTTCTGTTGGAAAAGCAAACATATATTCCTAGGCAGCTAAAAATTGAAATTTTAACAACAACAAAAAAGAAAAAAGTACAATATGATACTTTCCATCCTATTACAAATCTACCTTAGATTCAAAAATGCTCCCCATTTAGTTTTAAAGACATTCTTTATATTCTATTCAGTAAACTTATTAATCTTTTTTTTTTTTTTTTTTTTTTTTAAGATGCTACATCTCAAATGTATTTGCAAAGACATTACTTCATGGCTTAATCCTTCAGCAATGGCCAATTCTTTTCAAAGAAACACCAACTGACTTCATCTTCCAATGACTTGGCAGTATTAAGCGTTTATACTGGCAGAATTGATTTATATTCTACGTAGGTTAATCAAATAATGGAATGGCTCATAACTACTCTTTATTTTTAGAAATGCCACAACCCTGAGATATGTAACCAGCTGCTGAGTTTTAATTTTTCTTCATATAAGTTTTGTGCAAGTGGGATTATTGATTCTCTAGAAGTCATGATTGTTCTTGCTTAAGGGAAATTCTTGCGCACTTACAGCTGACATCTGGTTAGATATGCAGATTACCTTTTTCTGCATGATCTTAGCAAACCCTGCTTCCTCCCAAAATAGCAGCACTAATTAGATGGCAGTTGTTCCAGCACAAATGTCTAATCCACAGCTGCACTCCTTGATCCGTCCAATAGACATTAAAGAGCTCAAAGTTTTCTTGATCAGAACAATTACACTCCTAAAAAGCATAAATAATCACACACACACAAAAAAGAGGCATTCCTTATAACAGTCAAACTATTCAGTGGTTTTGTCCATGATCCTGGACCACTCTTCCTGCTATGTGAACAGTGTGATGAGCATGAAATTTCTGTTTCTCTCCCACAAAGTGGAATACTCCATCACAGGGATCTCTACATATTTCTTCCTCTCTGTGCATATAATACATAAGAACATTATCCTATATACTGTATGTATATGTTCTTTTCTTTCCATCATGGTCAAACAGCTCATTTTCTTGAGCACATTTTTAAAAAGACTTCAAGAGATTGGCTTGTTCAACAGTAAATCCAAAACAGCTGCAGAATCCAGCATGCTTCAGAAAGGCTACCTGGAGACAAAAACTCTTTGCAGAAGCATTCCTGACCTAGTGAACAGTCAGGGTCCTTAGTTCAGGAGGAAGAGGAAAGGCTGTGCTGAGCGGAAATGCCTAAATTACTAAATCCCTCTGTTGCAGTGCCAAGTTGGAGCCAGACACAAGACTACCAAATGGTAGTGGATGGTCCTTGTTAATGACATTACCCTGGGATAAGATAAGCTGTTGATGGGTACTGTGCTGCACTAAAGTAAAGCTTATACTGACCACCAAGTTAGGAGCCGTGGATGATTGGAGCCTAATAGTCTCTTCACTGCAGTTCTGCAAATCCACCCATCTCAGTGCTCTCAGGGTATTGCTTTCAAGCACCAGTGCAAACAGCACTTGCTCGGTCTGTCTCTGGTTGGCCTCCTTCTTCACTGCCAGTAAGACTGGGGAGGAAGAGAGGCCAGAAGAATGTTTTGATGAAGGTAAGGAACCCCTGAACTGCTGATGGTGTGTGAGGCTAAGGAAGAACATGCAGGGACAGCAGTGCCAGGTAGGAGCACTGCCTAAGGATACCACGTTAATGATAGTCAATTATTTCAACCACTCTCCTGAGGAATTCTTCCATCTGAACTGAACTGTAACCAAGCAGTTAGAAATGCTAKTATAAGCCTTCCTCTCCCTCACTCTCCGTACATATCTTGGTCATRAATCCATCACGGTCAAGGCCTCAATCTCAATTGCAAAATCAACTCAGCTCTCTACTCAGGCTGGCTATAAAAATGATAATGAAGATATTTATTTCTAAATGATTGTTGAAGTTGTATTTGAATAAAGGTAAGGCTAAAGACATATTATTTTTCTCACTGGGAGAGAGATCTATGTGATGCATAAGATCCTTACTGACATTAGTGGATATCAGGCSACCAAGTTTAAGTCATAGAGCTCAGGGACAACTTGATGAAAATAATGGAGCAAATCAGTCAGACACAAGAATCCCAGCAGCTTATCAACCAYTGTCTTTGCTGCCAAGGATTAGTTAGAGCCTTGAATCTGCCCTTGCCAATACCTGTCCTCACAAAGGGCAAGAGCCCCAGATTAAATGTTGTGCTATTTTGTAGAGTTTCTTATATATCTCACCACAGACGCAAGCATATTGTGAATGTGAAACCTTAAATCATATCAGATTTGCCCTGAAGCACAGCCACTATGAGAAATATGTTGCTCATATTCTAGGGCAAATCCACAGCCTTATCTTTTTATTTGCCATGACTTTCAGCAGCATTGAGAGGCAAGGTAGACTAGATTTCATGAATTACAAGCCAGCTCAATAAGGCAGGTGCCTTTGTCTTGTGGCCTGGGAAAAAAAAGAAATAGTTGGGGTCTAAATAAGAACTATTATTTAGCAGAGCTTAYTTCTTAAATTAATTTTGAAATTTATATTTTAAAATATACACTTTCAAAAGTTTTAGAAAAAGTGAAAAAAYAGACCAGGAAACTTACAGAAATGCAATTATGTGCACAAACTAACTACCGTGAATACAATAGCCTGTTGCATCCTCCACAGATCCCAATGATTAAAGGTATGTTTTACCTTAAGCAAGTAAAACCATAATCCTTCAAAACACTAAAACACTCCTAAGTAATACCATTCTTTTGCTGCAAAACTAAAACGATGTCCACAACGTATGGAAACTTGCCGGGCATCTTAACAAACAGGCTGTGTTTTAACAATTTTAACAGAGCAACCCATCTTCCCTAAGCTGTGATATTCTGATGAAATTCTGCAGAACAGATAACAATGATCATTATCATTAAGCTGTTTATCAGCGACAGAGTCTTTATAACGATAGCTCAAGCATCTCCCAGTTTTCATTCTTCATATTTTTTAACAGAATATACATTTTGTTTTTAAGGAATGTGAATTTTAAGTAGTTTTTCCCCCAGTGCCTTAGGAGTCTCTCTTAGGAGTTAAGCGCATCCCTGCTCCCAAACCAACCAACCAGTCTGGCTGCTCAGCCCCAGCCTAGGTTCCAGTCTCAAACCCCTCTAATTTCCTCCAGCAAAGGAATAGGCATGGACAGGGATACAGGTATCCCCAGACCTCTGTGGATGCCTCACAAGGAAAGAGCAGAGATGGTATCTACAATATAACCTAACTGTAGCTTTGAGACAGCACCGATAATGAGGAGCACGTTCCTGCTTTTTTCTTATTTTGGCAGTTGGTGGCAATTATATAATATAAAAATATGATCATAATATAGTAAATTATTATAGTGTATATACCTATATATCTGGCAATTCTTTAGTGTGTTAATGAAAAGCAAGAAGGACACCTAAAGAAATATGAATAGATGATACCCCTTTATATTACCTTGCCTGTGGATGATCTATTCTGTCCTCAAAAACAAACAAACAAACAAAAAGAAAATCTGTGAATCTGTGTAAGAAATAATTGTTTCCCTCTTTAACTTGCAGACAGGTTTGTGGAAAAAAAAATTAATTTTGCAGTGGCGTACATGTATGTTTTTAGGCGTTATGTAGTAGGAGACAGTAGAAGGAGAGAGAAATTATTTTAAAGCCTTTGTGTTTACACCAGTTTCACAGATTTAGTACAGTTTTTGAATTTGTAACATTTTGAGTCAAACAAGTGCTTATCCCTCAAGATATTCTTGCATCAGATTAAAATTAAAACACTCAGTTTAACTATCACAGGGCATAATCTGTAAATTCTAAGGAGGGCGGTTTTCACTTAAAAAGCAGAAATATCTAATATTTAGATGTGTTTGTGGCTTTGGTTATTCCAAGTAGAAATATGTGCTCATAAAAATAGCTCAAAAAAGAAATACAAACATTAGTGATCTGACAAAATACAGCTTGGAGTTTACTTTGTTCAGAGATTGACTTCATATTCTCATGCATTTTGTGGCTTAGAAAGAATGCAATTTATGTGGGGAACAGATTTACAAAATACTGACAATAAAACTGAATTAATTCTAGAAACACCAAAATTTAAAATTGCATCATGGATACATTTTTAATCTCCATGACAACACCATTAGGTTTATTTCCTTTTTGCCTGACATTGATATTGGTAATTATATCCCTGATAATGTTTAAATCAGTCTTCTAAAGTGCAACAGATTTATTATGTACAGGACATCATATATRTGCAAATATATGGAGAGACCAATTTGAAGATTAGATCAGGTACTGACGTAACCCCACGTAATCCCTTGAACCGAGTGTGACATCAACAATTTATCTGAGAGATTTTTCATTAAAGTCCATGAGATTTCCCACGCGGTTCTTATCGCAGCGTCCCAGCACCGGATTCAGGAGCGTGGGCTCCAAACCAAACCGTGCACAGAGGGCAAGTCTGGACACTGCCCACRTGCTCGGCATCAAATTTGTGTCCTTTAAGTATAATAGAACTACCATGAATTCACAGTTCCACTCGCCTAAACACTGAGCTCTCGTGTCTTTTGGCCCCACACTCTTGAGTGGTTGCATTATGCACATTGAAGAAATTTTAACTTATTTTCAGTAAAAGTTTCTATAAAGATCCTAGAGTTCAGGAGTTAAAGTGTATGATACTTAAGGCACCAAAAGGCTCATATGTAGCTTAACATTTTAATATGGGAAAGAGGAGGCATCTGGAGGACGTACCCCTGAAACATATTTCACCAAAATATTCCTCTGGATAAAGCRAGAAAGGTAATAAGTGCTTCCACAAATTTTAAATTTCCACAATGGAAATGGCAATTACTTTATTGAAATACTAATCCAAAATAAAGATATATGCATCAGTATAAAATGCTAAGTGAATAACACAACAGCAACAACATACCTGTTTGTCAGTGGCCCTATGAAAGGATTCGTGATGAGCTGAACTGTTGCTTTTGAGGCAAACAACAGCCCAACTTGCACATTTTCATTCAGCAGGTCCTTATCTTCCTTCGGACAATCGGACGGTGAGGTTGTCACGTTCACTATCATTTGTTCTGTCTGGGTACGCTCTGCTGGCCTGATCTTATCAGATTCATTTCCAGTAAACATGGATGAGTTGTCGTAATAGGAAAAGATACTCCGGAAATTGTCCACTGTTGTGGGAACTACATTAGGCTTASTGGTCTGGATTTCGGTGGCATTTTTCTCATGTTTGAGGCTGTAAAGGTAACTGGGAATTATTGGCACTGGAAAAACAAATAGAACATATTGGCRTTTTATTATCAGGGAATTTCTAAATAGAATCATTAAATTTTCTTGTTTGCTTTATCCCTGATTAAGAAATATAAAACTTTCCTGTAAAGAGCCTCTGTAAGAGTTTTGAAGGCGCGAAACAGAATTAAAAGTTTGCCCAGGAGAAAAAACAACACACACAAATACTTGGAAACACAATTAAAACAAAGATCTTTCCTTAACTATTTTTTTTTTGTGATTGAAAAAAAGCTATGAAAGAGACTAAGAAAAACTTTGAAACTATTATTAAAAATGAGTACTGTAAAAGTAATAAAACAGATTTATAAAACATGCCACAGAAATGTTGCATAAATAACAGACACCAGAAGGAAATATTCATACAACTCCAATATTCATTAATCTGAACTGATATCTTGATAATTACATTTCTATTTTTTTTAATTTAAAAGATCACAAGTTGTTGAACATGAACATTTTTATATGACTTAGGATCACAGCTGCAGCTTAAATACATTAATATGCATTTCAGAAATTAGTATTATATAGATAGTAAAAACAGATAAAGGTTTATGCTACTAGAAAACATTAATGACCAAATGAGCTGTTGTCTCACTTTCTCATTTCCCAAATAATTCCAATCTTTCAGTAAGTCCACAAACTGAAATAGGGTAGGAGGACTTCTCACAGAAATATTAAGCAATGAGATGTTAATAAATTTACAAGAGTATATTCGTGTAAAAAATTCAAAAATTGGCTGGCCTAAATATGTATCTAAATGTTTTCGTTAACATCTACTTTGCAGGATCAGCCTTTAATCCCGTGTCTGATTAAAACAAGACTCTCCAGCTCTGTCGACAGYCAGCCCTGTGGAGCCAAATTTGCTTTGCTGAGAAGCCTGTGCGTGGGTAAACTGGGTATAAATATATAAGCTTGAATTACTGAGGACTCCTAAAACCACCAGTTACAAGTAGATTCCTAAATCTTGACACTGTCACTGAAGGCAGTATAAGTCAGTGTCTTAAACTTTGATCAAAACAAGGGTTATTATATTAAAGCAACTCCCAGAAGTGCTTTTCTTAAAACCCATGGAGATTGCTTGCTTTTTAATCTCTCCTTTTAAGAGCAGTGTGGAGGAAAGGGGGGCTATCGCAAGGAAACACACAACCCAAATGTTATCTAGCCTGTTCTTTCAGTTGCACGACCACAGGAGAAACAATTTGACGACGAGCTAAAAATACTGTTATCTGTCATTCTCTCAAGTATTAATGTCTTTTAGTAGGAAAAAAAAAAAGAGAGAAGAATTATGGAGAGCTTTTTGCTCAGTGCTCATCCTGCAATAAATAGAACATAAAACAAAACTTTGACAGGCATCTCAGTGTTGGCAAGACCTAGAACGACACATACATTTGGAAACGATTAGTTGAAAACGTGTAAGTCGAAGGCGAGCGTTCAAACGAGGCATGCGGAGAGGATGGAGGCGGCCAGGGGCTATTCCCGGCGGGAAGGGGAAGGGGAATGGGAAGGGGAAGGAGAGCGCGGCACGTACCGACCACGGTGAGCAGCATGTTGTCGAGGAGCAGCGCGATGAAGACGATGAGCAGGATGAGCTTCCTGGACTGGCGGCCGTCCCGCAGCCAGCGCAGGAGCGCGAGCTCCCCGCGGGCCATGGCTGCGCTCCCGCCGCGCCGCGCTGCGCCCCGCGCTGCGCCCCGCGCTGCGCCCCATGCTGCGCTGC